CTGGTAATTAAGTGCCTAGGAATAAATGCACTGAAACTCTGAGCCTGCAAGAAAACTTGGTTTTCCAAAAATTGATTTGCTTTATCAATCTTTTTAAAATATAGAGCAACCCTGTTTCGTCCCCTTTTTGAAATTTGGACTATTTCTGCTTCAAATTCTTTATGAAAGCAACTTTCCCAACTTAAAGTAATTAATATTACCTAAATTACTTTCAACATTAACTATGTACGGTCCTGCGTCATATAAATCGTAACGCAAGTTGTTTAGTTTTTGTAAAGTTTCTTTACGTCTTTCTTCGGCTAGGTAAGCCGCCACAAATTCGCTTGATTTTACATTATTAGTTTCCATAACAACGTCATTCACCTTGATGTTTGACAAAATATTTTTTTTATGAGGAATTTCAATTATTTCCCCTCTTTGAGAGATTATGAAACCTTTTTCTACCGCCGAATCAATTTCATTTATTGTTTCTTGTGAAATATCAAGTTGAGAAAAAAAAACTGCTGTCCATATTCATTCTAACATTATCACATAAATCTAAACAAATTCTAGCCGCCTCCTTGGCTGAAGGAGAACCCTTTATTGCGTTATTAATTTCATTAATGTATTCTATCTCTGAACCACCCCCCGGATCATCCAGGGTATTAGGATCAAACATGATCCCTTATTGTAACTATCCGAATTTTTACTACCAAACCAAAAGCAAAAATGAATGGAATTAAAAAGGAAAGAAAACTTACATAAACGGAATTCTTCTTCCTCTAACTTACACAACACAGCTATCAAAATAACGGCCTGTCAAAAAAAGCGGCACTAAGTTGATACAAGTGGCTACAAGACGACGCGTCTTGGGGCAAAATTTGTCGTGAGGCAATTTTTACGTTCGCGTTTAATTAATCGCTCGCGAATATTGATGAAATATGAGCTCCAAAGGTAATCGAATTAGATTTTCCAAAACGGAAGACGAAAAATTGATTGACGAAGTATCAACGGATCCAGCATTGTATAATAAACATAAATTGTATAAAGACCAAAATGTATTTAGTTTCGTCGTCAATTAAATGTCTCATTATCAGCGTATTAAAACACCCTTCCTTTCTTCTTTGAACAAACATTTTATGCAGAGGCGGATTAAATGTCGAGAGCGCCCTAGGCAAGCACCTCATCGGCGCCCCTCTAGCGGCCATATATTATAAATTTTTACTAGTACTTACATAATAATTAGCTGTGCACTGCGGATTCACCTGCATGATGCCCCATACCGTGGAAATTTCGGTCTCCAGCTCTCTACATACCAAGTTTCATCACAATCGGTTTAGTAGTTTTTGCCCGAAGAAGTAACACACACTTTCGAAGTTATAATATTATTAGGGTAAGTACACGTGTCCTGGCTTATACTTATATTTAGGTATAGGCCAGGACACGTGTACTTACCCTTAGGCGTGAATGAAATATGTGATATACATTTCTATAGAATTAACTTATCTTTTACATGTTAATTTTAAGTTTATGTTAATTAGGAGTATCAATACAGACGGCCAGTCGAGTAAATAAATGTGCTCTCGAATTCGATCGCTCTTAAGTGTACCTAATAATAAGTTTTAAGGAAACATAAAAATCGCTCATGTACTATCGCTAACAAAAAAAACTCATACAGCTATATTGTGGCTGTGTGAATAAAACTTTTCCGTCAATGTCGAGCTTTGTCACATCCATTATGACTTTTTTAACAACATTTTTAACCAAACAATGCAGACAAACTCTGGCAAGCCATTGAAGCCATTTGGAACGTGATAAAGCAAGACGGCGACTTCCATGCTTTGCCGTTTGCGGGCAGTAATTGACAAAAACAGAGGGATGACAAAATATTAATTTTTTTTTCAAACTTCAACCTAAGTAACTTTGTATTTAATTTTAGACCTTTCAAATGTGACGTATCATGTTAAAAGCCATAATTACTCCAACGAAATGATAGAAAATCAGGAACACTAGATTTTTAAGCTGTATGAGTTTTTTTTGTTAGCGATAGTACAGTGTAGTAAAATAATGGGCGAAGTTAGTGCAAAGATTTACTACTTGGACAACGAAAATCAGTGTACCTGTTGTCCAAAGTCTTAATAGAAACATTAAATTAGTGCATTATAAAGCAACCCCAACAAGTGAATATAGTGAATAAAGACCATACGGACACGGAAGTAATTAAGTGATAAATGACAGCATACCTGAAGATCTAACCCTAGGCCAATATGAATCACCTTATGTAGGGAACAAACTAGCCTAGAGTGGAAGGGGCCATCATCTGCAAAAATCTGTACCAATTAATCGCATGACCTAATACGCAAATTCGCAACAAAAACCTAACAATAATCAATCAATATTACTGAAAACAGCGTAAAATGTTTAAAACTTAACGAACCAGTTCCGATATTTGCCTAACATAAACCACTAAACATCTCTAAATTTTAGGCATTGCATGCTGCTAGCTGTATAAGAGAATTAAAGAAGCAAAGTTAAGAGCAATTATATAAAATAAATAATATAAATGCAACTTCTAATTGTTAGAAAAGAAAAGTAAACGTAAATACAATTTCTATCACAAAATAAAGACAAATATCTATCGCTAGTTCTCGACCCCTACACTGAGGAAACGTTTTCGCACAGTGGGGCAAACAATTGCTCACAACAGTTTCCGAATTTCAGCAGACTATAAGACCAGAAAAGATAGGTCCTAGCAGCGTACTAACCAACCAAACCTCATTCATGAACCCCAAATAAATGGGGGGATTACTAAATCCCTGGTTGAGGGGGATTCCGGATTGTACTTAGTTTTGCCTCCTTTTCCAGTACTCCTAGCCTGAATCGGGCGTATGGTCCGGCCCGGCGAAAAAATTCCGGGAGTGGCCTTTACCATCCACACTGTCATCCACGACCTCCTAGGCGAGATTTACCAACGCGGGTGAAAATGCGGATCCACCAAACACAGGTGATGCTGTTCAGTGGCGGGATAAGTAGGAGAACTGAAAGGGGGTGAAATAACCCTGGGAGATCAGTGCAAGGCGTGCCGATGGGGCCTGCCATACGTTCCTTATATATAATTTTATGTTAATTATTTTCTTCGGTTCAAAACTCACTTGCACGTGCTGATTAAATAATCAAACCAATAAGTTGTAAATCTTTCTTCAATAAATACCTACTCGGTGTTCATAAAAACTTGCGTTTTTATCAAACATCGCGCCCCCTTGTAACCTCGCGCCCCTAGGCACGTGCCTAGTTTGCCTTAGGGATAATCCGCCTCTGATTTTATGAACCTTTCTACGCTTTTTATGCGCTTTTAATGAAAATAGCAAAATGTCATCATCTTCTGCTTCTTCCATAAGCAACTGTACTGAAAACACAAGTTCACTACTTGTCATTGCTGGCGACGTAAACAGACCACTAGGTGCGATTAGACGTAAGCGATTAAGCGCCGCATTTAAACGCCTCGACTACTCGCCCAAAACGGACCGTACCTTTACAAATACAATTTATTCTATAGGACTGTTATGTCAAAAATTTAATACTAACAAAGATTTTAATAATAATATTTTAAGTCATTAAATTTTTGTTTATTATTAGATAATTTTTGTTAGGTTTTGTATTGAGTATGGTATAAATAGCTTACTAACAAAAACAAAATATTACTGCTCTGTTTTTATTTACAAAATTCTTCATTACCTTTTAGAAAGTCGTGATATTTTAAAACTTACTCGAAAACTTATTATATAAAAGTAACTGATACCATTAAGAAATACTCAAATTTTAAGCTTCTCATGTCCCCTAAAAAATAGGCAGATAAATTTGTCGTTAGTCAAATGTTGTAGTATTATAAACCAAACAAACTGATATTTTTATTAATATTTTATATAAATTTTAAACTAACTTAAAAGAATTGTTGTCTTTCTTCCTTGTAAGTACTGTGTTTAGAAGAAATAAACGAATAAATAAATAAATATGATTTGTAGATAGCAGTTTAATGCGGGGTAGGAAATGATATGAAAAAAAAGTTAGTGTGGCAAAAGTTATTAATTTTAATTAATTTAATTTTATGGTAATTTTTTGGGGTTGCGGGGGTGGAAATTAACTATACAAAATTATTATTTTAATGCATTAAGCTCTAGTGTGTTTAAAATTTAAAACTTTTTTAAAATTTATTTTAAAGAGTTTACGGGGTGGAAAAATGTTTTCGTAAAATAAAAGAAACGTAATTGTTTTGTTTAGGCAAATCCCTACTTTTGACTGGTATTGTGTCTTTATAAAAAAGTCGAAATCCGTCACTCAACGCTGCACCCTATTGACCACCTAAAGGTTATAGGTACTATTTCAACATATTTTGCTTTTTAAATAAAAGTTTTTACTTACCTTGGCAATTAAACTTTATACCGCCTTCGAGTTGTAAGAAAAATGCATTTTCAACTTAATGGCTATAATACAATCTTACAAATATGGAACTAAAATCGCACAGTAAAAGTAGATGCCTTTTGTCAAACACTTTAAAAACAATATTAACTATTGTAACAGTATTTAATTTAATTACGGTAGCTTTTACTCACAATTTTTTATTGTAACGGACGCTACAAAAATTCCAGAGAAGCGTGGAATGGCTGTTTAGCAACAATTAATTAAATAACTTGTATTAACATTTTTAAAGAACGAACATTTTTAACAACTTAAAATCGACCCAATTATAAATGCAGGAAATCTGTGAATCTAAGATACATATTATGTAATTACTAATTAGGTTTCTTTAAATAAATGTGTAAATAAATAAATTATTATTTAGCTTAATAACTTACAACAAAGCTTTAAAAATTAAATTTAAACTTATAATTTTTAAACCAATCCTGCAAATTTGTTTCTATTTATCCCTTAGTTTCTGTTTACTCCGTTTTATACGTATCTTTTTTGTTTAATTAAAAATGTTCTGAAGTTCTACATTTACAATATTTTAATTATGTTTTTAGAAATTGCACTGGTTATGTAGATGTTCAAACCATCTATCATCAGCTTGTGGATACATATGACTCTTCAGATACTGAAGATGAAGTTGAAATAACGCCATCTAGCAGTAGAACGTTAAGATCTCTTCCAAATAGAACGTTAAAGGACTCTGGCGACTGGAAAAACGAAGCCAAAAATTTGATAGACGCCGTTTGGGAGGCTGAAGATTCTATACCTTTTAGAACACCAGTTAATCTCCTTAAATATCCAGGTTAGTTTTTATTTTAGGTTGGTTGGTTTTTGTTTTTATGATACTTTTCTTAGATTATAAACAAGTTATTAAAAATCCAATGGACTTGGGTACTGTTAAAGACAACTTTTTGAATGATAGATATAACATTCCTCAGGAGTTTAGCAAGGATATGAAGCTAATTTTTCAGAATTCAAGGACATATAACACCAATAAAAGATCAAGGGTAAGTCGGAAAAATATATACAAGAACGCATTATATTCTTTTTTTGTAGATTTATGTTATGACAGTAAGATTGGCAGCAATTTTTGAAGAACATATGTCAAAAATTATAGAAAATTGGAAAATAGCAAAGAAAAGAGAAAAACTGGAAACAGATTTAAATACAGGAGACGAATCGTCTTCGTCATCTTCAGGATCTTCAAAAAGTGTCAAATCAGAAAACCTTCCATTGATGCGAGGTCGGAAGAAAATTGACACCTCAGGGGAAGGCAGTGAAAGCGAAGATGTGCCCTTAGAATCACTGAAAACTGCCAGCCGAAATCAAACTGAAACGGACAGTACAAGTACAAGTCAAGAACCAGTAGCGGGACCATACCAGGAAGAAAAAGGAGAGGAGGCTCCGGTAGATATTGAAGGTCATTCTTCCAATGCATCGGAAGATGAATATAAACCGGAAGCACCGGCACCTCGTCGAAAGCGGTATAGAAGTTCATCCGAGGAAGAGGAGGAAGAAGAAGAATTCATTCAGGAGGAAGAAAGCAGCGAATCTGATACGTATACAAGAAGAAAAAGAACAGTTAGAAAAAGACCGGTAAGGAAAAAACCCAATAACCAAAGTTCCGACGATTACGAAGATGATTCCGATGCAAGCGTTGAAGCGAATCACCGAAGTAAAAGACAGCGGAAACCGACTTCTTCCGAAGATGATAGTGATAGTGATACAGCGGACAGTGATAGTGATGACGAAAAACCACTAAGGACAGTAAGAAAAAATAAGACAAACGGATATTTTTCTACAGTTAGTAGTAGAGGCAGGGTTAGAAAATTGACTCCCAGAGCTATAGCTTTAATGAAAAAATAATGTTTAAATTTACTTATTGCCTTTTTATTTTATCGTATTTTTTTAGAGTTATTGTAATTTTAATTTGTAGAATTTGTATTATAATATTGTCAATTTACAATCTATGTTTTTTATTTAATGTCTGAGTTACTTTATTTAATATTGTTCATTCTGAATAAATTTTTAAAAACATTTAAATTGTTTTTAACTAATTTGCAAAAACAAATTGTAGTTGTTTTACTTAAATGCAGGGTCTACAAGAAAGGGCAGACGGGACAAATTCCCGAGCCCGTAGGCTTTGGGGGCCTGAGTCCACGGCTTATATGTACACAGGGGCGTGCTGGGCCGCGATTGCGGATATAAATTCTTCGTCGAAGCCGGATAAAAGCGGGTAAAAATATCATCTGATAACATTTGCTTTTGTCTGCATCGCTATATCCGCGTTGTGTTTTATGTCCGGTTAGTGCACCCCCGCAATCATCTGAAATTTATCTGTTTTAACCGTCTCCACTGCGTTTCGTTTATATCTAAATTTGTCCGGGATCATCTGCAAACGTCTGCTTACGTCTGGTTTTATTCGCGATTACCTGCTTTTTTGTTCGTCTATTTTTGTCGAGTTTTGTCTGCAAACGTCTGGTTTTATCCGCGAGAATATGATTTTACCCGATAACGTCTGCCTAGTCCAATTTTACCCGCAAACATCTGCTTTTATCCGCAATCAGCCGCAAACATCTGCTTTTATTCGAAAACATCTGCTTTCATCGGTTACGTCTGATTTTATCCGGTTTTACCCGCAAACATCTGCTTTTATCCGCGAACGCCTGATTTTATCCGGTTAGGGCACCCCCGCAATCATCCGTAATTATCTGCTTTAGACCAACTGCGTTTTGTTTATATCTGCATGTTAAACACAATTTTAACAGAGAAATCTTTAAAATTCATTTATTGTTATTGTTTACATAATAATCATGTAAGTAGGTTCATCGCTTAGTAAAACTAACACTATTTGATGACCTACTTCTTCAGCAATAGTTCCAGTCAGTAGAGTACAGAACGAAATATAATAAAAAACACGTTTTCTCTAGTACGCTACTGATGTATATTTTTAATATAATTATAAATTGTTATCATTTGTTGGGTATAAAACTCTAACAACTTTTAAATAAAGACATAGTTTAACTGGTTTAACTGGTTTCAATAAGTCCTAAAATCTTATTCACTGCAATCGTCTGCTTATGTATGGTTTTATCCGCGATAACCTGCATTTTTTTCGTCTATTTTTGTCGGGTTTTGTCTGCAAACGTCTGGTTTTATCCGCGAGCATCTGCTTTTCCCGCAAACGTCTGCCTAGTCCAATTTAACCCGCAAACATCTACTTTTATCCGCCAACATCTGCTTTCATCCGCGAACATCTGCTTTCACCCACGAACATCTGCTTTCATCCGCAAACGTCTGATTTTATCCGGTTTTATACCCACAAACATATGCTTTTATCTGCGAACGCCTGATTTAATCCGGTTAATGCAGCCCCGCAATCATCTGCTTTTGACCGGCTCTACTGCATTTCGTTTATACCTGCATTTGTCCGGGTCTATCAAGTGTTTTTCAAACCAATTTCATACAAATTAAAGATGTTATAATTTCAAATGTATTTGAAATTAAACATTTTTTCTATCAATTAATTTGAATATAAACTTAATGATTAAAACATGTTTTTAACAAAGACCTTATTTGTATTTTACCAAATAATATTTGTTCAATAAACTTATTCCTTTTACAGGTTTTTATTTAATTTATTCCTTTTAAAGTTATAACGTTTTGTGCCGTGAACGGTTAACAACCAGTTAGTTAAAGATCAGTAAAATTTGACACAGCAGGTAAATTAAACTAAAGTATACCCAAAAAGGCGTAATGAAACAAAAAGCGCGAATGAAACCAGACGTTTGCGTACAAAACAGGACCGAAATGGACAAAGGAAATGTAATCACTGATAAAACTGAACGCGGGTGAAAGCAGTGTTTGCAGGTGAAATCGAACGAAAGCAGATGTTTTCGGACGAAAGCAGATGTTTTCGGACGAAAGCAGATGTTTTCGGATAAAAGCAGATGTTTTCGGATAAAAGCAGATGTTTGTGGATAAATGCAGATGTTTGCGAATAAAAGCAGATGTTTGCGGATAAAAGCAGAAGTTTGCGGATAAAAGCAGATGTTTGCGGATAAAAGCAGATGCTTGCGGATTAAAACAGATATCTGCGGATTAAAGCAGATAAAAGCAGATCTTCGCGGATAAAAGCAGATGTTTGCAGGTGAAATCGAATGAAGCAGATTTTTGCGAACTAAAGTAGATGTTTGCGGATAAAGGTAGATTTTTGCGGATTAAAACAGATGTTTGAGGAACAAAGCAGACGTTCACAGATAAAAACAGATCTTCGCGGATAAAAGCAGATGTTTGCAGGTGAAATCAGATGAAGAAGACGTTTGCGGATTAAAATAGATGTTTGCCAGAGAAACCGGATAAAATCAGATAATTGCGAATGAAACCGGTCGCAAGCAGACAAAACCTATACGAATTTGGCTTGGGCCTGGACGATAAAAAAAGATTTTATATAATTGTATAAAATTATATATAATTTTATAAAAAAAATGGCCCGATATAATTGGATAGAATTCAATACAATTATATAGAAGTATATATAATTATATAAGAAAACTGACCCGATATAATTATATAGAATTCTATACAATTATATATAATTATATATAATCATATATTATTATATTCCTGCAAAAAGTCACCAACTGAAATTTTGTAAAAATCTTAAAGTTTAAATTTACTAACCAAATTTACCTTATCTTTAATGTATAAAAGTCAGTAAGTGCTTTAAGCATTATATGCATATATGACTTGTACATTAAGTATATGGTCATTTGGATATATAAACAACAATCCACACAACTATGTTTTTTAAGATTTTCACAAAATGACAGTTAGTGACTTTATGCAGGAATATAAAAATATAATGTCATCAAAACATGCTCACCATTATTATTGGAGCTACAAAGTCGGTTAAATTAGTGGTATTTTTACAGAAAAACAATTGAACGTCGGGTTTCCGAAGTTATTACAAAAATAACATTTTTTTAATGGGACACCCTGTATATTTTTACATATTTTGAAAGACAACTTAATAAAACAAAAAATTATTATAGCATTACTACCCTAAACTTAAAAATACACAATTAATAAGCACTGGAACTTTCTAATGGTTGTTGAAATATCCAAATTATAACAATCAGTCAACCAAATTAGTTTTATTTAAGCTTTAACTCGAAGAGAACACTATAATATAACAAACACACTTTATAAAGAATACGATATCTAGATTCACGCCACAGAAAAAGAATTTCTTCTAACAAAAGGCGACAAAGAACACCAACACAGGCCATCTTAGCTTTCTCTCAAAAACTCCAGTGTTACCACCATAACGTATGGCGGCAAATTAACACAAACTATTAAATGAGTACAGATTGCGTTAATTACAATTGTAATTAAATTTTTAAGGTTAACTGACGCTTACTACCCTATTTATTGTTTAAAGACCTCTAAATATGTTAATACCTTACAAACAATCGTTGCTTAAGGTGTTTGAACAATTATTAATTACCAGCCGTGATTTCTGCGCATGCGTATTAAGTTGGCTGCTATCCAGTTGTATTTTGTGGTCATATAACAAATACACAAAATGTAATCTTGTTTTTCGACTCCTACTTCCACTCCCAGTATCGTTCATGTTTCCAAAATATTTTAAATACACATTGACAAGCTGTTACTTTATGGCGTTTTAGTCAAGGGCTGAAATTTTAATTAAAATTCTACTTGCGAATCTTCACCAAAAATAAATCGATTTATAAGAATCATTATCACTTACCCACATAATATTAAATAATCCTTACTTTTTTTGTAATAAAAATCCTTAACGAATTGAAAATATTTTTTTTAATGCCGTCATTATCCAGTTATCTGGATAATTTTCTTAAATTATATAGAATTGTATATAATTATAAACAATTTTATATAGCTTAAGGTCAATTGAAAAAAAACTTATATATATTTATTAGGGTGGCCCAAAAAAAAAATAATATTTTTTTCTCTCATCTCTTGTGAAAATATGTTGGTTTGTCATGTTTTAAGAGCCCTGTCAAAAGATCAGCTCCATTAAAAAAAATTTAGGGGTCGCTCAAGATTTTTAAAAATTTCCAAAATCGTCAAAAATTGGATTTTTTTATATTTTAATTTTTTTTCTCGTTCCAAAATTATTTTTTAATTTAAAAATAATAATGATTCTGAAAATTTCAAATCGATATTTTGATTTCTAAAGGTCGCTCAAGATTTTTTTAACTTTCAAAGTAGAGTATTTTGAATGTTTTTGAGCGACCTCTGAATATAAATGTCAACAAACTTTCAGTGAAATCAAAATATTGATTTGAAATTTACATAATTTTTATTATTTTCAACCAAAAAAATAATATCGAGACGAGAAAAAAAATTAAAATAAAACAAAAATTCAATTTTTGACGATTTTGAAAATTTTAAAAAATCTTGAGCGACCCCTAAATTTTTTTTAATCGAGCTGATATTTTGACAGGGCTCTTACAGCATGATAAACTAACATATTTTTACAAGAGACGAGTAAAAAAAATATTCTTTTTTTTTGGGCCACCCTTATATTTATATAAAATTGTATAGAATTATATACAATTTTACATACCTTAAAAGAGACTTATATATAATTATATAGAATTGTATATAATCATATAAAATTATAAACAATTTAAAATACCTTAAAATAGACCTATATATAATTTTATAGAATTGTATATAATTATATCAAATTATAAACAATTTAAAATACCTTAAAAGAGACCTATATATAATTTTGTAGAATTGTATATAATTATATAGAATTGTATATGATACTATATAATTATATAGACACTTCAATAGGGTCTAATATATAATTATATATAATTGGAAATTATTATATATAATTGTATATAATTATATAAAAGTATATAAAATTTCATAGAGAGTTATATATAATTGTATATAATTATATAAATTCCATATTTAAAAAAAAATATTTTATA